GGAGCTGATGGGGTGTCTGGCTTCTCCCACAGATGCTGCAGGACTGCCCGAAGGCCCGCAGGGAAGTGGAGCTGCACTGGAGGGCGTCGCAGTGCGCGCACATCGTCCGCATCATGGACGTCTACGAGAACCTCTACCAGGGGAGGAAGTGTCTGCTCATTGTCATGGAGTGGTGAGTCCCCGGCGGTGCTGCCGCGGGTGGGCTCTCCCCACGGGAGCTGGAGTGGTGCTAAAAGGGTGGGTGAACACCCTCCCGCGCTGCTGCCGAGGTGCCAGGGACCCCAGGGAGATGCTGCGCTGGGGGATGCAGCCGCCAGGATGGCAGCCCTGGACGAAGTGCTGCACCGCTGGCGTTGGGGGGATGGCAGGAGCTGCTCTGGCTCTGAGTCATTCTGAAAACTTGCTCGGCTGTCGGGAGGACTGAGGGCCTGTGCTTCTCGCTGCAGATAGGTCATAACCAAACTCGCTTTGGCCATTGAAAGCCCGGGGAGCCGGTGGGCGCCCGGCACCCCAGCAGCCTGCTGGGCAGCACACCGAGCCGACACCTCTGCTAAGGCCATTGCACCTCTTGCAGCTGCAACTGAGCGGCTGTGATTTGGGTGTTTGGTATAACCTGGGGAGGAGGAATGAAGGGGAAAGTATTGAAACCACATCCCAACCGCAGCTGTGATTTGATGCAGCTTCCTTGCCAAAACCTCTCCTCGGGGCGAGCCGGTAGGTTTGCCTGAGGGGGCAGCGGGTGCGAGAAGCGCCGCGAGCAGCACTGGCGCAGGCAGGTTCACGTGTGGGAAGAGGCTTCTGGGCACCATCGGGCACCATCTGGGGATGGGAAAGGTTTGTGCATCTGCTTGTGTGGGCAGAAAGCAGTAGGTGAACGCTAGGAAGCGAGTCTCAGGGGGCAGCGACCGCTCCCTGCAACGTGTCTCAGTGGCGGGTCCCTGCTGTCTGAGGGATGCTCTGGGTGTAACGCCCGTCCCAAGGCAGCGTTTGGGTTTTGGTGTGAGCTCCGCGGCTGCCCACTATCTGTATTGCAGATGTCCAGTAAATGTCAAAGGCAGGAGATGCTATCTGCGCTGGGAATGCCAGAAGCCATTTCTGCTCGAGGTAGATAAGGCAGGGACAGGAAGCATCATTATCCTTGTTCTCATGGAGAATTATCCCTGATCTCACTCCTGATCTCTCTGGGAGCTGGTTTTTTTCCTTAGGGTACCTGGGGAGGGAACTGTGCCAAGGTTTCCATGATCGTTCTCCACCACGTTATGTGAGAACTTGCTCTGCTCCACAGAGGTTTGGTCTCTGCCTCCTCCGTCCTGTCGGTGAGCTCGTCTCGCCGCTGCTGACGCCTTGCCCTTGCCCTGATCTTTGCTCAGCACTTCTGCGCTGGGTTAGTGTGTTGGAGAACGAAATGAGGCCAAGCGTGCCGGGAGAGCTCTCACCACGTTCAAGCCACGTTTGCTGTCTTTACTGTAAACGTGTTTCTGTGGGCTCGCGGGGTGACCACGTCCGCTTGCACCCGCTGTCTGCCGCCAGCGCGAAGCCTCTGCCGGGCTCATTTCTGGAAGGAGGAGGCTCTGAAACACCCCGTGAACAGAAGCAGCAACCCTGGGGCTTGGATGGAGAAAGAGCTTGTTTCTTGCTGAGTTTGTGCAGCTCCTGGTTGAGCATCAGAGGTTTCGGTGCCACTTGTACCGGCGAGACGGGGATGCTGCAGTATCTAACGCTGCCTGCTTCTCTTCCAGCTTGGACGGCGGGGAGCTCTTCAGCAGAATTCAAGACAGAGGAGACCAAGCCTTCACAGAACGGGGTACGAAGCCCACAGGGACCTGGGGTTTCATCTTTGGACTGTGTCCAAAGAGTGTCTCTGGTCCAGCCTATCCCCTCAATGACTCTTTTGAATCCCCGCCAGGGTTTTGTGCTTGGAGAGTGAAAAATGGGGGTGCCAGAGGCCCTGCTTTTCATGCCTGCTTGAGAGCAGGTCAGGGGATGTTTTCTCAGCTGTCCCCATGCCCCAGCAGAGGCACGAGCCTTCAGTCACCTTAAGAAACATCCACCTTCCTCAAAAAATGAAGTCCAAGGGCTGTGGTTCTCATCAACCTCATCCCCTCTCCTCCTGTGGCCACAAAAAGTGTTCACACAGCCCAAATCCTGAGCCTGTTGCCCCCTTGGCTTCCTGTCTTACTTTCCCAGGTGGTTTCCCTGGAAAGGAAGTAGTGCTTGTTTTAATTTGCTTATAAAGACTCTTTTTTGCTACTTCAGAGGCTTCAGAGATAATGAAGAGCATTGGTGAAGCCATCCAGTACCTGCACTCGATCAACATCGCGCACCGGGACGTGAAGGTACCGTGCTGCACGCTCGCCCGGAGGTGCTGAGCCCCGCTCGGCCCGCGGCAACACCGAGGCTGCTCCGGCGCTTCTGCTCACTTCTTCTTGCCTGTGTTTTCACAGCCAGAAAACCTCTTGTACACCTCCAAAAGGCCCAACGCTGTGCTAAAACTCACGGACTTTGGCTTTGCTAAGGAAACCACCACGCACAACTCCTTGGCCACGCCATGCTACACGCCGTACTACGTGGGTAAGTGGCTGGGGGGGAGTCTGAGCCTGGCCCGGCTTTGCAGGGCTGGAGGACAGAGCTGAGGAGGTTTGGATGGTGCCACACACAGCCTGTCACCTCCACATCCAGCCTGGTGCCTCAGCCACAGCAGGGTAGCTCCTGTGTGGGATGTTTGGGACTTGGGGCTGCCTTAGGGACAAGCTGGTGCTGTGTGTGCTTTGACTCTGGAGTTTTTCTCTCTTTACCAGCCCCAGAGGTGCTGGGTCCAGAGAAGTACGACAAATCCTGTGACATGTGGTCCCTTGGTGTCATCATGTACATTCTGTAAGTCCGAGGGGGCCCTCTCCATCCCAATGGGGTCAGAAGTGGGGGGATGCAGCTTTTGAGCTTGCCTGCGCGCTGGTGGGGCTGAGCCTGTCCCAGCTGTGCAGCTCCTGCCCCTGGCACTGCCCCACGGGTGATGCTGGGGAGGCTTTTGGGGTGATGCGGTGACTCTGCTCCCTCTCCCGGCGCAGGCTGTGCGGGTACCCCCCTTTCTACTCCAACCACGGCCTGGCCATCTCGCCCGGCATGAAGAAGCGAATCCGAATGGGCCAGTACGAGTTCCCCAACCCAGAATGGTCCGAAGTGTCGGAGGAAGGTAAAGCGTGGTCCCCGGGGGGGGCTGGGGTCTTCTTTTGGGGTCAGCCCAGCGTCCCACAGC